TTTTGTCATCCATTCGTACAAATCCGCGTCGTCGCCGTGTGTAGGGTACAGTATATACGCGCATTTCGCGCGCATTTTTCCCCAGAGTTTTATTCTTCCGTGGTGCGAAATGGAAGGAAGAAAATTTGTGACAAAGGCGAAAAGACACGGCTTATTATACCTGTAGCTTAAAGTACTGTCCACGCCGTGTGGGACGCCAGGTGATTCAAAAAGATGCGGAGAAAACCTGTTTAATCTTTCTCTCTTATCTCCTTATCTCTCTCTCTCTCTCTCTCCTCTCTCTTCTCTCTCTTGCTCTCTCTGCTCTCCTCTCTCTTCTCTCTCTCTCTCTCTCTCTCTCTCTCTTTCTACTCTCTCGCGGTCCTCTCTCTCTCTCTCTCTTCCTCTCTTCTCTTCTCTCGCTCTCTCTTTCTCTCTGGCTCTCTCTCTCTCTGCTCTCTCTCTCTCTGCCTCTCTCTCTGCTCCCTCTCATCTCTCTCAGTTATCTCGCTCTCTCTCTATACTCTTTCTCGCTGCTCTCTCTTGTCTCTCTCTCTCTCTCTCTCTCTCTCTTCTCTCTCCTCTCTCTCTCTCTCTCTTCTTTTCTCGCGCTCGCTCTCATCTCTCTCTCGGTCTCTTTCTCCTTCTCTCTCTCTCTCTTTCTCGTCTCTCTTTCTCTCTCTCTCTCTCTCTCTACTCTCTCTCTCTTCTCCCTCTCTTCTCTCTCTTTCTCGCTCTGCTCTGTATCTTCTTTCTGCGCGCTCTCTCTGTTCATCTCTTCTCTGCTCTCGCTCTCTCTCTCTCTTTCTTTCTCGCGGTCGCTCTCTCTCTCTCGCTGCTCTCTTTCTCTCTCTCTCTCTCTCTCTCTCTCTCTCTTTCTCTCTCTCTCTCGCTGCTCTCTCTCTCTCTCTCTATCTCTCTCTCTCTCTCTCTCTCCTCTCTCTCTCTCTCTCTCTCTCTCTCTCTCGCTATCGCCTGTTCGCTCTCGCTTCTCGCTCTCTCTCTCTCTCTCTCGCTCTCTGTCTCTCTCTCACTCTCTGCTTACTCTCGCGCTCCTTTTTTTTCTCTGCTTTCACTGATCTTCTTCTTACTCTCTCGCTCTCTCTCTCTCTCTCTCTCTCTCTCTCTCTCTCTCTCTTTCTCTCTCTCTCTCTCTCTTCTCTCTCTCTCTCTGCTCTCTCTCTCACTCTATCTCACTGCCCTATTATCCAATAACAACGCGGGTGCATTATTTTGGGGTTCGTTTCACTTTTTTTCCCCATTGACAAGATTAATTGTCAACGGCTGAATGTATAATCCTTATAGCTAGGGCCTGTGGTAAACAGCGCGGCAGCGAAATAACCAAAGGTAGTCACACGTTCTAACGATGATAGTAGCGAGACAACTCCTTACGAAAAGTGAATTATATTGCTTGCTTGCTGAAACCTCGCTTGCTCCACACACACACGCACGCCACGCACGCACACACACGCACACAACACACCACACACACACACACACACACACACACATATATAATATGATATATATCACTATAATATTAATATACTATCAGGAGTTAATAAAGACAAATTTTTGTATATTATATATATATTATATACCTATATGAATTGCGTAATTTAATAGCTTTCGTATAAACTACAGTTATTGATATAATTTCGGTGCCCCGCTTGAAGGCTGGAGCGACTGACTGCGTCCATTTGTGTACGTTATAACACCATACGTGTGTGCGTGTGTGTGTGGTGCCATGTGAGAATGAATGAACTCATTGTACTACCCTCGGCCCGCGTGTTTCCTCCCTCCCCTTCCCCATCCCCCCGCGACCTTTAGTAAGCGTATTGGGTATGCGAGCCGACCCGCCATGGCCCCCCATACTCCATGATTGCACCTTGTAGATCGATATAGGCCAGCTCTCCATCGCGCCACCATGGAACAACCCACGTAGCCTTGCCAACCAGAACAAATTATGCTTTAATGACACACTAGAACACAAAAGTTCCTCGTGGCACCACATATATATATATATATATATTATATATATAGATTAATATATATATATATATATATGTGTGGGGTGCTTGTAGTGTGTGTGGTGATATTGTGTGTGTGTGTGTGTGTTCTGTTTTGTGTGTGTGTGGTGTGTGAGTGTGTGTGTGGTGTGTGTGCTGTCGTCGTGTGTGTGTGTG